GTGTGTGTGTGTGTGTGTGTTCACTGCTGTGTGTGTGAACTTTGGATGGGATAAATGCAGAGCACTAATTCCGAGCATGGGTCACCATACTTGGCCACTTCACTCACTAAACTGTGGTGCTCCACAAGGGTCTGTTCTAGGTCCTATTATATTCTCACTGTATATGTACCATTTAGGCTCAATATTACACAGATTTTTCTTATGCTATAAATGCTTTCATTTTTTAACTTGGAAGAAAGTACACCTTGGTTGGCAAGATCTTTTTAAGCTCAATGCTGATAAGATATTTACATCCTCTAACTCCACAAATGAAATTACCAATAGCTTAGCTTTCATTCCGGTGAATGTACCTGCCTATATTATAAACATGTTTATGTTAAAAGCCATTATTTTAGACATCGCAGATTGGATCACCCAATATGGATGTGAATATCTTGTGTGAAGGGGAACTTACCTGTCTGAGACAGCAGTGGAGTGCTGGGTAATGCTGCTGAGTCATACATGGGGTGAGCTGGGATGGCAGGCACTGCAAAACTCTTTAGTGGGTGCGTGGGACGAACATGTGCTGTGGGTGTACTGAATGCTGGCTCCTCCTCAGCGGCTGAGCTGTGGTAGCTAATGTCCGTCTCTGAAAGGTCAGTGGTGCAGGAGGGCTGCCCAGACGGAGGGTGCATGTCAGCACTAGGGGTGTTCCTTACTGACTCTGTAATTACATCAGCACATGGGTCAGCACATGGTGCATACTGCATACTATTAACCATGTGGGTGTTGTATACAAGCAACCTTAAAGATCAGAAGCTTGCTGGGGGAAAAAAACAAGTCATATCATGTTAAACACCTAAATGTGATTAGGGCGAATACTCTCCTTCTGAAACAACCAATTTTAAACAATCTTTTTTAACCAGGCTGTGGAGACTGAAGGTGAAAGTCCAGAGCATCTTGATGTGTCCCAACCTTAATATTTCTTCCTTAAATGTATTGTTGTTTGGTATAATTGCCATAAGGTTTATTACATTAATGTTAACTGTGTTAAAACTCTACAACTATTGGTAAAATGTGAGTTTGCAGTCGATTGTTAGAAAGAGAATTAATGACTGGAGAATCCAAAAAAACAACGTCAGAGGGGAGTCTAATGTTTCACCAGAAGATGGAGTTATAACATGTTGATTAAAAATTATGGGGCCAAAATAATGAATAAATTAAAACTACATGAATGAATCATTTACAATAAGGTCAATTACATCAACGTAGAAAACAGATTTCATGCCGACTTTAAGTAAATAGGGTAAATTTTGTTTTCATGTTGCCTTTCTATTGGTAAAGATGGTTTTTGGAGCATGGTTATTTGCTTTGATGCTGGCCAAAGTTGGTCTGCCAGCTCTAACCAGCTTGACCAAGATGGTTCACCAGGTTGAAACCAGGTCCCCCAATTGATCAACAATCTAGAACAGGCTGAACCACTGAATAACAAAAAAATGACCCACTTTTTTTTCAGCTAGAAACCATGTAATGTTGGTAAAGGAAGTGCTAAAGAAGGAGGTATGTTCACTTTGAGAGATAAAGGGGGAAATTAAGAGATATGGAAAGTTTCACTACAACTCCATGGTCACCAAGTAAGTGTAACTCCATTTTGAGAGGAAAAGAAGAACATAGTCTAACACAATTGTCTCCAGGCACGATGAAGTTCTTCACAAAGTCCCACTAATGCGCTCTCACCTGTGGACTCTGCCCTGTCTAGATGAGAGATGGGGGTGGCGATGGACCGCGTGCTGCTCTGGTGGTGGAGATAGCTGCATGTTGGCGAGGCCAGGCTGCCCAAGTGATAATGATGGTGATGGTTATCGAGGGAATGGATGGGGTGAGCACTAATCACAGCTGCGAATGGACACAAATAATAGAGCGCCATGGTTTAGACCTTGCACACAAAGCTAAGAGATTATGGAAAGCATGGTGCATCTATAACATCTGCTCATGCAAACAAAGAACAACACAGATTGAAAGACACGCTATGTTGCTAGGTTAAAGAATTATCATTTGGCTAGAAACATACACTAGACAAGTATGCAAATGCAGATGCAAATTCTTGGCCAACCTGTTCCTTCATTGCTGTGTGGCTAACCTAACTAACTTTAGCTAATTTGCTAAACAATTGTCTCTTGCTGAGCAATAGACCATTGCTCTGCCATGGCAGCAGTTGACCTGAACATTCTCATGCATTTCGAAATGTTTAGCTTTCTTAGCTTGAGTTGTTTGCACCCGTGTACTTGAGTAGAGTATGTTTTTGGCCTACAACTACAATAATGAACTCAGGGAACCTTGTTTGAGGACTATGTTATTCCAAAGAGCATAAATTGTTTAATATCCTAACTGAAAGAAAAGGGGCCAAATTAAGGGTGTCTGGTCCCTGGTTCAGGATCACACACTTACGCTGAGGGGGTTGTGCATCAAAGGGCATCATCATTTTAGGTCTCATTCCCCGACGGCCTGCCAGTGTAGACATGCTGTCCTCTGATTCATGGCCTGTAAATCAGACAGCGACCAGCCAATCAGATTGAGACAGGCTTACCCACCGGACAGGCTCCCAATACAAGAGCCATATGAAGACAACCAGCTGACTACCTAGAGTCAGTTGCCAAGATCATGTGATATTTTCACTATTGCAGTGGGATTCTATTGTTTGTCCATTAGAGGGTAGTGTAGACACACATATCAGGAGATCTGTAGGAGTAGGCAGCAGCAGATGGATATCACCATTCACGCCACGAGAACAAAGAAAACAAGGCTACAAGTTTTTCCATTTTAAGCAAGGAACATGCCAATCGCAAGCAATAATGACAAATAGTAGACATGACTTTGAAGCATCCTTCAGAAGCAGCAGCTGGAATGATGTCATGGATTATGCAGCAGGTGAAGGCTGGTCAAGTTTAAAGACCCCATGAAATGGTCACAAATCTTCTTTCCTGTGTGTGACAGTTATTTTCCTACTGAAACAGGAAGTTGGGCTAGACATATCAAAGTGACTTTTTAGGCAGCTTTAGGTTTACATCATAGCTACTTGGTACTTATAGTCAGTTGTAGATGGTATTGAGAGAGGGTTCCAGTCTGTTTTCCAAAGAGAAATACTATAAATATATAAAAAATCTCCAGAAGTTTGGGTGTCCACTAGTATACAGATAGTCTTTAACAGACAAAACTCTTTGCGTTCTGATTTCATGGGGTCTTTAAATCAAAGTTCTTACCACGGTAAGAGTTACGTCTCTGGAGCATAGGATCCATGGAGCCATCCACCGGGGTGATGTCCTGGGAGGTTCGGGGGATTGGTGTGTCGGTCATGACTGGATTGGGTTCAGGCGATTTGTCGATAGGTTTTAGCTCCAAACGTTCGTGGTGGATCCAGAGGTCTGGTGGCTTCAGATCTTTGGAATTGCCCTTATACTTGTGGGATCCATTGGCGGACTTGCAGGCTGCACGTTTCCTGGAGATCATACCAAACAGTTTGAGCGAAGGTTGTGACAAATACATTAACCCTCACGCCAGGACTGAGTATTAGGACTGTTCGTCAGCAGGAGATCTGAACTTACTTTTTCTGCTGTGTTGTGGTACGGCGTGTACACAGGAAGGCGCCAACCACCACCAGGATGATGGTAAATGCACCCACAGACACAATTATGACAATAACCAGGATGTGGTTATCACCAGTGCCAGACATATCTGCTTTCCCTGAAACATGGAAATTCTATGGTTATAACGTTACAAGAAAAGGAAAATTTGTCAAGGCAAACAAATGTTGAATGTTGGTTTGTCAAATTCTCACCTGAAAGTTTAAACAAGTTTTGAAAGCCTTTAATGTTTATGACAGAATGGCCTGATACACAGAAATATAGAGGGAATTGGTTGAGTTTTGCCATGGGGTTGCTAAGTGATAAGTTGATCCTAAGGTGTTTCTACATGGTTGCAAGACACCACTAGGGTCTTGCTAAGTGGTTGCTAGGTTGTTATTAAGGTGTTACTAGGTTGTTGGTATGGTTCCTAAAGACTACTGGTTGGTTGCTACTAGGGCATTGCAAAGTTTTTGCTAGTTTTTTCTAGGGGTTTACTAAGGTTATATGGTTGCTAGCTTGTTATGAAGGTATTGCTAGGTTATTGGGTGGTTGCTACTGGATGGCTGTTATGGCATTTGCTAGGTGATTGGTAGGGCACTTCTAAACTTGAGTTAGGTGTTTTCTGAGGATTACTAGGGTGTTAATTTGTTGTTGATAAGAAAGGTTGTGTTGCGTAGTGGTTTCTAGGTTGTTATTAAAGGGGACATCAGATGCTTATTTTCCACAAGTTGGTATGATTCTTTAGGGTCTGCGTGAAAAGTCTATAACATACTTTGGTTAAAATTTCTCAATGGTAGTGTAAAAAACACCCTTTTTACCTTGTCAAAAAACGGCTCGGTTCACAGTGACCCGTTTCGGTGCATGTCCCTTTAAATGATAATGAGTTCTGCTCACCCCGCCCCTCTCTTCTGCAGGGTGATGAGCAGTTCTCGGAGGCTGTAAACTTTAGCCGCATTCATTGTGTAACTTGCTAACTAGCACATTATTAGGAAAGGCAATTTGTAAAGATTCATGAAAAAAAAACTTAAAAACTCACTTCTTCTGTAGGTGAAGCTGGATCACGAATGATTTGCGCGAACATAAACGCATTTAGGTAGATCAGGGGGCACATTCCTTTCAAAAACAGAAGTAATCCACTGCTTCTTCAGTGGCTCAGATGTCGGGAGTAAATGACGACTGCTATGTTCATTATTACATCTAACAACAAAACAGCTCAATCGCTTAGGAGACATTCTTGTCTACACCTGCTCCGGCATCGAAACAATGGCGGACTGTTTACAGCTCACTCAGAGCGGGTCTATGCTAAAACGCCAGTGTTCGTCAACAGTCGAGACGACTGCTATGTTCATTATTACATCTAACAACAAAACAGCTCAATCGCTTAGGAGACATTCTTGTCTACACCTGCTCCGGCATCGAAACAATGGCGGACTGTTTACAGCTCACTCAGAGCGGGTCTATGCTAAAACGCCAGTGTTCGTCAACAGTCGAGGAAAGGGGGCCTTGGCCTGTGTGATATCACTGCCAAGAATCTGTTAATTCTTGATCTAAAACAGTGCTTATGATTTTTGGGGATTTAAAAAAGCACTGGGTGGATTTTTATCATTATAGGGTGGTTGTGTACACACACTGCCAAGACACATTTATGTTCAAACTCCATGTAAAAGTGAATTTTGCATCTGATGTCCCCTTTATGGTGTTGCTAGTTCATTGTGGGTGGTTACTAGGAACTATGGCATTGCCAAGCTGTTCCAAGATGTTTGCTAGGGTGTTATATGTTCTTCAACAGGGCATTGTGGTGGTAATTGCAAGGTGTTGCTAAGAAGTTGTTAGGATGTTACTAAGGGGTTGCTATGCTGGTATTAATGTGTTGGTAATTTATTGTGGATGTTCGCTACGCTAAGGCTCCTTGGTAGTTGTTATGGCATTGGTAGGTGGTTGCTTTGTGGATGCTAGGGTATTAACATGGTATTGATGGGATGTTGCTAAGTAGTTGTGTTGCTAAGTGCTAAGTGGTTGCTAGTGACTACTGGGCGGTTGTTATGGTATTGCTTAGTGGTATTAGGCACAGTACTAGGGCAGTTTCTTGGTTGCTGTTATGGTACATCATTGATTAGCCATTTCTAGTGGCTTTCTACAGTGTATTTTTTGGAAACATAAAACAGCAATTACCAACTGATCCAAAACCTTGTTCTTGTACAGAGGGTCTTCCTGGTTTCACCAATATACCTGGAGCTACAAGAGGTCAGATAAGAAGAATTGTCAGGTGGCACATTGGAATCTACAGCTCTTGTGTAAAGTTGACATTAAGACACATTCCACAGCATGCAATTTAAAGAGATAAACCACAAGCTGTACTTCAGAGAAGAGCATGACACTCATCTTTTGACCAAAATGTGCTTGGGGAAAGACTGTTAGTAGTATGAAGTTTTAGCCACATGTGCATTTTGCTGATAAACTCTTTAGTAAATGGTAGTCAGGCAAGCAAATAAGATGTTTTTCTGTTATACACCAGCTGGATCTTTCTGTGACTGCTGATGAATTTCAGTGTTCAGGGAAAACAAGCTGCTCACTTCAATTTGAGGACATTAGTGGAATAAGAGAAGAGAGAGCAATTACCTTGGTCATTAGCCATTTTGTCAGAGGATTCAGCTAGCAGGACAAAGCAGAAGGAGAGGAGACAGGTTAGAGGGAGAGAGGCGTGCAGTCAGAGCTAAGCAGGACCCTATGGACGGCTTGTGCATGAGCCAGTTTGAAAGATTGGTTAGGTCAGGGTAAACGCAAAGGTTTAAGCTTTAGATTAGGTTAAAAATAGCGTATGTGCATATGGTACCAATAATATATTTCCCAATATTGAATCCTACTAATTATAATTTAGCAACTGAACAGTGCTGAAAAGAACAGCATGAAATTCCTTTATGGTCCACTTTGGATTAGGCTAGTTCATTATGGTCTGCTACTAGTCTAGTTGGTCTTTTCCTTTTTGATCAAGAACAACTTGCTGGTTAAGCCAGATAAGAAACATAGTGGTTACACCAGTATCCCATTGTATTTTTGGATTCATAACCCAGCATATGCTGGTCTTTTCAGCAGGCAGCAGTGATTGTTATCATTCATCAGCGTGAATGAGCTGGTTTACCTTTAGGAGTGCGGAACTGGACAGCATCAGACATGGGACCCATCCCTTTAGAGTTACGCGCCTGGATCTTGAAGTAGTAGGTGGTATCAAGGGTCAGGTCTTGAATCTGATGGGTTAGCCTGTTCCCCACTACTGGCTCAATGACCCAATCGTGAACTTCTGCATTCACATCAGTGCTGTAGTAAATTATGTAACCTGGAAAGGCAGAGAAAAAGTAATACAGAGGTATATTGCAATGATAAATCTGGCAAGTTAAATAGTCACTAACCACGTTTCCATTGCCCTTTAAATTGCGCAAATTGAAATTGCGAATTGAAAATATGCCTAATGGAAACACATCAACTTCGCAAAAACTCTCTTTATTGCAAAACAATTTTTACGCTCGCATTAAGTGGTTTTTCAGACAATTCGAAAAATGAATATATCGCAAAAATGCAATGGAAACAGTTTTTTTCGCATTTACAGGTCACCTGACATATGTAAATGATCACATGATCATTCTTTAATGTACTATAACCTCCAAGAAACACCTCATACATGGCCGCTCTCAAGTATAAAGAGCTTTCCTTGCAATTAATGCATGGATAACCCCTTATTTACACTGCACAAGTCTGTGGTGCACTATGGCTCCGACACGGCCACTCTAGTTAATGCTTGTGTTTATACCAGCTGCACCACGGCACGTTTCAGAAGCATCCCAGAAGCCACTGTCCGTGCTGCTTCACTAAAGATACACGCATACTCAATGCATCAATGAAAAATAATGGCTAGTGAGGTGGCTGCAATTTGCGTAAACCTACCAACATCCATCTCCATGACTTATTGCGAGAGGAAAACATTTTGGTTTAGTCGCATAACATCAGTTAATGGAAACGGCATAAATTCGCAATAGGTTTTTTTTTATCGCTATTTATAAAATACTGCAAAAGTTTTGCGCAAATCTGTAATGGAAACCCGGCAACTGTCTCTAACAGGTTATATATTTTTAATATCAATTTTGTCACCTGTGATCTTGCCATTGGCTTCTGAGGGTGGCTGCCAGTTGACGATGATGGTTCGTGGTCGTCCCTCTTTGCTCACTACAGTCACATCTTTAGGCGCAGAACTTGGGACTGGGGAGAAATATAAAATGAATCAAGACTACAATTGCAGATATTCCCTCACACTCTATGTTAATGCAAAGTTTATTGTTCATTGAGTGCGTTTACATGTACAACAAAACTACTTGATGAGTCATTACTCTAAATCGACGAGGCTGCAACCTGCCCCATTTAGAGTACATACTTGTTTCAAAAGTTGTTCCATGTGCAGTCATGCTCCATGTGCTGGTTCTCCGGCCCTTGGTCACCATGACCGAGAACTCGTACAAGGTGTTGGGTTTAAGACCCGTCACTGTGTGAGTCAGTGTGGTGGTATTAGCCACCTAAAATGAACAAATCAACGTCAGTGATATAACAACTGAAGATTCTCCACCATCCACCACCTTCGCTGTGAGGAGCCTAGATTCTGTTAACATACCTTGAACTTTGTGTTTGCGGGTATGTTGGTCTTCCAGCGCACTGTGTAGTAACGTGCATCTGTGATCTTCTGGTTCTTGGGCAGTGAGTTGTCCGCCCAGGTGACTTTGATGGTGTCGTGGCTCAGAACGGACGCCTGAACGCCCACAGGAGGCAGCATGGGTAAAGGGTCTGGTACTGGAGTGTATGGAGCATGGAAAAGTTCGTACAAATCAACATCAGGGTCTATGGGGTCTGCAAGCAAATTACACAATGTCCCATGGCAAAAAAAATAAAAAGGTGAAAGGTGAAAAAAGGTGAGCTCGATTACACATACAAGGGGAGGGTTTTAGGACGGGAGACACGTAACGACGGGGGAGAACGGATTAATGGGTTAAAATGGGAGGTGAGGAAGGGAGAATTGTGGAGGCGGGATTGGGAAAGGAGAAAGAGAGAAATATTGGATTAGAACAGAATACCAAGAGACAGTCACAAAATCATCCAGAGCTACAGAGAACTACATCTACAATGAGTCGAGAAACTACATCAGCTTGGTTCACTACCAGCTACATTACAAATAAAGGAGGAAAAACGATCAGTCAGACAGTGAGAGTTCATATACACAGAGCCTGGGATACAATGTAATCCTCATCTAGAATTTTACATGGATAAAAACAATGCTGTTAGGGATCCTAGGGATGTCAAATGTTAAAACTGTAATAAAATTTATTATACCTTGTATTTATTGTAAGGTTAGAAAATCTCAAATTATGTGTGCTTGAAGGTCATAAGTGTTTGGCTAATAAAAAGGTTGAGATCTTTTTCTTTTATACTGCAATTTAACCAGATTCACAGAAGGAAGCAGATGAAAAGGCTTTTATTTTTCTTTCCTGTCTATTAATTTTTATTTGAGTGTGGAATCAGTGACCTTGTCTTGAGTCAAAGTTTTGGAGATGATCATTTTTTGATTATTCCCCAAAGCTTTCAGATAATTTCAACGTGCGATGCATCTCTGTTTTTAGTGATATGATAATGATATGACAAATAAGTCTGATCCTTTTATAGATTTAAAGCTATTTGCCTGCCTTAAATCACCTGTTTTCCTAAGCGCTCCCTTCAAGAATAACAATTTGGAGTGGGAAAATATGCTCTCTGGCTTTTATATGTGTGAAAATGAGAACACATTGTTTCTGGCTTGAACATTTAACTGTTTTCAAATGGCAAAGTGGGAAAAAAACTGGTTGTTTTCCATAGTTCTGAAGCAGCCCCATAGTGAGCACTATGTGAGGTTGAGTTCTGCTTGTTCTCTGGAATTCTGTTAAAGAGCGGAATGTAAACGGATTCACTGTCCAACTAGCATGCAATGCCTAACAAAACAATAAATATAAAACGCAAAGTAACACACACTAAAGTAATTCACTCACTGATTTCCTTAAAAAACAGGAAATCTAAACATGCAGTATTAGACTATTACAATATATCTCTTATTTTAAGCTAAACATATATATTCTGGCACTCTCAGAAGAGGCAAAACTGTCACCTTTACCTGTTAGTATTTATTACAACATTCTCTCTAATGGTGGAAGAGACGCTTATGTATGAAGGAATGGGTGAGCGAGCAGATATCAACTCTGCAGGAGATCTTCAAAGCCCCCGCAGCAGGTTTCCTTGAGTTCAGTTAAAGGTAAACCAGGAGAAATGAGAAATGCTTTGCATGCTGGGAGGTAATAAGAGAGTTCCACTGATCAAAGCCGGAGGTGAGAAATTATCTGGTGTTCAGAAAGTGGTCAGCTTCAGTTTTTCACAATTTCATTCCCTATGCAGTGTGAATCAAGTTCTTGGCTTAATGTATTATTGGTCATATTATGGATCTTATTATATAATTTTCCCCCTAAATGCTTAGTTTTTTATTCTACAATGAAATATTACAATAGCAATATTTCTTTTTTATTCTTTCTTTTTTTATATTTTTAGTAATATACTTAATTAATATAATTCATATACTACTAATTGATTATTATTATTATCATTATTATAATTTTATAGCCATATTGATATATAATTACAAAATGTTGGCCAAATTGTGCAGCCCTACAAATAAGCACAGTAAACCTGAATTTTATTTTTTAATTGCATTTTAAACAGTGATATATATAGATATATATATATATATATTTTTTTTTTTTAACAAACCGTGCAGTCTTACATGGTTGTCAACCATTCATTAATCAAAATATTTCCAAAGGTAAAAAAAGTGTTCTAAACCTTTCAAATTATTTACAAAACCAAAGCATGTTGATAAATTTCTGGTCAAGATGGCACTTAACCCTAATTTTGCACAACATGCAAAATGGTTTTAGTTGCAAATAAATAAATAAATAAATAAAAGGAAAACATTTAGTACTGCAGATGATAAAAATGGCTATTTCACAATGAGATCACCATTAAGTATAATGTTTGACCAGTGCTACTCAGCCATGTCATATCAACATTCACTTGGATGGTGGAGTGACTCATTTCCTGGAATTGACGATGTTCCTGTACTTCGGATAAGAGCAGCGTTTAATCAAACCTCTGCATCTCCATCATGTGCAGCGCTATTAAGCAGTGCTTCAATTGTGAAGGGCGTATGGCTTTATCTGTATCTCATAATCAAGAGGATTCCTCTGGTTGCTAGGAAGCAGAAGCATTAGAGACCACAAAACTACTGAAGAACTCTTAAGATGGTCTCTAATGAGAAGAACAAGCACTCAACCACTATGCATATCCATAATGTCAATACGATTACCCAGAAATAACAGAAATGCAATTTTAGAAGAAATGTAGACTTCATTGAGACCTCTAATTAAAATCTTCTGTTCAACAGACAGGCAGGTGCAATGTTATTTCTATAGTAAATGTGGCAATATTCTCCATATTAGGAATACAGTAGTGACAAACGAGGACGAGTATGTTGAAGCTGTAGGTGTGGCGTGTTATAAGGCTGAGTGGTGCCGGCCGTGACCTACCTGATTGGGGTCGTGTGATAGCGCTCTCGTACACAGGGATTCCCTCCCCCACGTTGTTGAAGGCCTTCAGTGTGATAACGTAGTGCGAGCTGGGATCTGGCAGGGAGAAAGCCAATCATTTAGCTTATCAAGCCCGCAGCTCCTCTGAGAGCTTCAACCATATTCATCATCCTAGCAGGGGTGCATATTTAAACACCATTATTGATTCTAGCTCTCGTGTAATTAGATGAATTACGAAGACTTAAATTATGCTGTTTCTTCTGATGATTATTTTTCTCGTTCCTTTAAATGTAATTACAATGGGGTGGAGAGAGGGGTACCTACAATCCATTTACCCGGTTCTGTTTACTTTAATTCACTTTTAGAGGCAACAGAGCTATTTCTTCGCTGCTACTTCTTGTTTGTCTGATGAAGGTGTGAATGAATGTTCAGAAACGTAAATTAAAATTACTGATTCAGATTCCACTGAGCTTCGGTGGATGATATAGTTCCATGGTATTATAGGATATAGTAATATGGTAAAACTGGGTATGAATAATCACAATTAGCATAAGAAACTATTTTTTTTACTTGGTAATGCCATGGTAATACCATAGTATTCTTTGAATTAAGTACCAAGTATCAAGAACCATATTTTATGCATATCACAATAATTTTTATATCATGGTAGACACCAAAATAGTACAGTATTAAAAGTAATAAACCATTACTTTACAATTGTACTGTCAAAGTACATTTTCATAATCATTTACACTTCATGTGCTTCAGCACAATAAAATGGTCAGGTAATCTACTGTATGTTCTTCATATAGTAACATCTAAACAATTTTTTCCCCCATAAATATTGTGATTTAATATGTTGAAATAGTTAACGTATGAGTTATTTTTAAATCTTTATAGTCCCACATGGCAAAAAATAAAATAAAATACCTGAAATATATTTTTGATTAATTTGTACTTCTATTTCCTTTATTTTGTACCTTTTTATACATTTTAATTGAATTTAAATGCTCAAACTCAAATATTCAATTAAAATGTTCAAATGTTTAATTTAAATGTTCAAACATTCAATTTAAATATTTATTTACTAAAAAGCCTTTAAAAAATGACTTTTACCCATAATGTATTTGAAGACTGAAAATGTATTTTCTTGCCCCTCGAAGCAGATTTTGTAATATATATTTTTCATAAACAAAGAATTTTTTCAAAGCAGAATTATTATAATGAAGGATCTTACTTAAGTTCTCAATGGTGTAGTATCTCTGTTTGTAGTCCACTTTAATGGTCTGGGCGTGAGGGCTGCCGATCCCATAGCCGATGGTGTAACCCCTCACCATAATGTCCTGGTTCTCTGGGGGCGTCCAGCTCACTACAATGCTGTTCACAAGTGGCCGCACATGCAAGGAGCTGGGGACGTCTGGCACAGTTGTCTCTGAAACCAAAGAACCAGCAAAATTACACTTTGTCATCCTAATTAAGTACCAGTGCTTACAAGATATCTGCCAGTTTTTACCATCCAGATCGCTCTCAAACGTCTCAGCAGTGGTCCAGTCTGTGGCCGGACCCGTGCCGTTGACCGTAATGGCCGACACTCGCAACATATATTCAGTGCCTCGCTGCAGACCTGAAAAATACAAGAAGAACTTCAATTTAGGCTTTTGATTCAGCTGAATTTGGTTCTACAAATACATATTCACAAGCTTTGTGAAATAAAAAGTGCTAAAAGTGCACAAATTAATTCGATTTTTGTTTGTTTGGCTTCCTACAAAGTGCTGGGCGGTTCCTAGAGCGCCGCTAGTTTAAATCACTAACCCTAAGTATGAGCAATAGTAAAAGTGAAGTACCACGTCTCAATCAACCAGTCAGCTCATTTCTCTGGAAACAAACAGAAAGATGCTTCACAACGCTCCACGTTTCTCAATCCATTTTCCAAGACTAGATCGATAACCACCCCCGCATCATCATCATTGGCTCTGCTGTACGACATACTGACCTACACACTTACAGCATTGCCTAGAGTGCTGATTTATAAAGGTCTGCTTCCACAAATTTGTATCACACTGGACTGACACAAACAACAAAATGAGAACTGACTGATTCCAGAGGGGTTCATAATTTCACATGTCTGATGCCATGAGCATGTGTTCTGGTTTTCATAGATGAGGGAATGCCTGCTGTCTTTAAATAAGCCAGAGGTTATAATTGCTTTAAAATGTTAATAAGCGTCTGCTTAGTTAGAGTGTTGAATGCAGAAGTCAGAGCTGTTCCTGCGGCCTTGTGGGAGATAGCAACACTCCACTTCAAGCCTTTGAACTAACAAACATCTCATCTCATCTCAACTCAACTGGAACAGAAAACAACCATTATGCTCTTTGATGCCAACCACAGCATGACACTCATGAAGCTGCTGAAATCTATTTAGAATTTAGTTCTCACTTTTGTTTCATTAATGGATAGAGTTTGCCACTTGAGGCTTTATTTTTTGCAGGCTCATCTATTCTGTAATTTCTGAGAAATATATTTTTTCCAGAGCCGTTGGTGGGGTTGACATGGCAGCTCAAAAGCACTGGTGTACAAGGGTAAGGACAGAATTTACTGATGCCTAAAAAAAAACAAAAATTCTCAACCAATATGGGTTTTTGGAACGGCTGACGCTTATGCCAGTATTAAGAGTAGGAGGGCCAAGGACAGACACACTGGGGCTGTTAATAGATTAAAAAAATTAATCAAATTAATTACATGACACACTAATTAATTATTCAAATAGGATTAGGGCAGATGAATAAATGTGTCAATTTTGTTCATTATTTTTCGTAATTAATTGCGCTAAATTAACTCAAACTAAAGGCCTATAATAATATCTAATAATGTACAATTATATATGTGTGTGTGTGTGTGTGTGTGTGATATGTACATATGTACAGTATAAAAACGGTATAATATGTAAATATAAAAAAAACATTTTTTTAATTTATTCTATCAAATAAATTTCATGACACGAATTCATTATTCAAATAGGATCATAAATAATTGTGCAAAACAAACTAAATTGACTAAATTAAACTAAAGTAACTAAACTGACATCTATCTATCTATCTATCTATCTGTCTGTCTGTCTGTCTGTCTGTCTGTCTATCTGTATAGATGTAATATAATGTATTGACTGAAAAAGAAACATGGAAAAAGTTGCTAAAATTAACACATTTAACACAAAATTAACACAATTAACATTTACTGCATTTAGAATAAACAATTCTAAAAAAAAAATCCCAATTTATAAAAAATTTTTTTTCAAATTTATTTATTTTATAATTTGGAAAAGCGCAGAAACTGATAGCTTGAAAACCAAATATGTACCTGTCCTTCTGAGTTTAAGGGGGTTCAGCTTACCATCTATGAGCTGATAGAGCTGTGATCCAGAAGTAATCTCCGCTGCCTCACTCTTCCTCGTACCCTTCCTGTAGCGGATCTTATAGCCGGTGATCTCACCGTTCTGAGCATCTGCTGGCGGAGGCTGCCATCTGACCATGATGCTCTACAAGGTTCACACATTTGAGAAAACCAAAAAAACACATCCTCAATATCACACGTTCAGATTTCCTTCCAAAGCAATGACCACAGTGTATCAAATGGAGAATTAATGCAGCACCTCCTCCACGCACCTACAGCACATGCAAAGTCACCACAGTAACAAGTGCAGGCATCTAACCTAAGTCATCGTCTCCCCGAGGCAGCCATTAGAGAATGTGATCATCTCGCACATAAAGCATGCGCGAGTATATCAGTCCTGCAGCAGAGGGCATTGGGCGAGCAGCAGAGACCGGCCCGCACCGAACCCATGAATAATAGATAAAGCAGTGCAGTGTAGAGGAGCCTGCGGTAACGCAGCTCAGGATGGATGGAGGAGGCTAGCTGCAGGGCCCGCGGTGCCTGCTGGGATAATGAAGGCAGGGAGAAGGGCCGCCCAGCGAGGGTGGGGAATTAATTAATAGTATCCACAGTTGCCGTGTTCACGGGTCATGAGGGAATAAACCGAATTAAATCTGCACCATGTATGCAATTACTGTATTTCAATTTTCGACCAATTCCAGTTTACCTCGCTAACTACTGCTTGTGTTTTCAGCCAAACAAACTTGTTTTAATTGACTTATGGGTCACAGGGGTGCCTAGTGCTACCAGCAGGGGCCTCGCATACGGTAAGTCATTGTGTTCATTATACACACCCAGACTGAATTCCCCCGTCTGTTGCGGAGCACCCCAGGGCCACACGAGGGGGTCCTGATACCGTCCGTAGGAGCCCACTAATTAACCATCTTCTCATGCAATAAACAAAAAAAGCTTCTGTCTGAAACTTAAAGCCTTTTTATTATTCAGTGCTAATTACTGAGCCATAAAACCCATTACAGGCTTGAAAGTGTGTGGATCTGTGTATACCCACAATGCAAAGAGACTGCAATTAAACCGGATTGTTACAGTTTTTGAAGAAAACACGAGTTTTGCCTGTGTAACACTTGCTGTCATGAAGCTAGGGTGCTCTGGGTGGTTGCTATGATGTTCTGAATGGTTTATATGCTGTTTCTAGGGTGTTTTAGCTTAAAGTTTTGACCTATACACCTTATGGATCAGAGAAACAAGTGCACAGAAATCTTTAGAATATTGTCTTTGAACTTCCATTTTTGCAGTAGCTCTATAGCTTCACACTGTTGAAGAGTACTATATAGTATAGTATAGTATAGACGGTTTCTTTAATGTCTTGTTGAGTGTTTAGTTTTAAATATATATATATATATATATATATATATTTAAAACTAAACACTCAACAAGACATTAAAGAAACCGTCTATACTATACTATACTATATAGTACTCTTCAACAGTGTGAAGCTATAGAGCTACTGCAAAAATGGAAGTTCAAAGACAATATTCTAAAGATTTCTGTGCACTTGTTTCTCTGATCCATAAGGTGTATAGGTCGAATGACAGGTTGCTGGAGGAGTGCAACCTTATTATAGAGTTATAGCAGAGTTATTATAGTTAACTAAAACTAAAAATGAAACTATTAAAAAAAGAAATTCTTGAAATAAAATGTTCAAGTGGTCTAAAATGAAATGTAAAAAAAAAACTATTTCAGCTAATTATCAAGACAACACTTAAACTTAATATACTAAAATAGCTTCTTAAACTAAAACTGAAATAAAATGAATAAAAACTATACAGACACACCTAAAAAAGAAAACTCGACAATATAAAAATAAAAACAAAATAAAAATATTATAGTACCTTAATGAGATTAAAAAATAACACTGCGATCTCAAATGTTGTGAGAGGGAGGGGAAATTATTTTGAATTACATTTCATAAAAAGTATTCCATAAAAAATAAGAATTGTCAGATTTGATTTCATGGTGACTTTAATACTTAGACTCTGGGGTTTGTTGAAATTCCAAGGATGTGCAAAAGCAAACGTCATGCTTGCCATAGCAAACACCACGTGCTAAATGCATTATTGCAGCCCAAGACACTTGTCTACATATGACTAGAAACATAAACAGACTCATGAATAAAAACAACAGGAGGAAGACTCAGGTTAGAGAAACAGGCTGAATTATGACATCAGTAACAAAATTATAGACTAAAAATGTGCAGAAATATAAATTTAAATATTTAAATGAATCAATAAATATTCGATACAGATATATTATATATATTTCTTAAATATATACATGTATGCGTGAAATATAAATTTAAATGATTAAATATTTGATATTCGATACTGATATATTACAAATATTTCTTAAATATATACATGTATGTATGTGTGTGCATTTATATATACATATTAGCAAATTATTTAAAATGCTATTTTTAATAATTAATTAATAATTCATTTCATTAATAATTAACATTTATTTATTTATCTTTGATCCATTTATTATTATTATTTATTTGTTTTTACAAATATTTATACACTCTTCACTAGGAAGCTGTGGATGAAAACATTCACTAATTGAATACATGAAAATGTAGACAAGTCACTAATGTCAATATTATAAAAAAATACATTCTTAAACAACTTATACATGAATATTTGGAATTGGGCTAGAAATTTTCATTAGTATAAAAATATACAAAATATGACATCTACCGTATTCAAATTCGTTAGCAATAATAAAACAGCTCCTCAGCTTGTGTTCAGGACAGACCACAGAGTTCCATCTGTTCTCCACCATGAACATTTCACATGCATTATCAAATATCATAATGCTTTTATACATGATAAATGTGCAGAAATATACATTTAAATATTTAAATGATTAAATATTTGATATTCGATACTGATATATTACATATATTTCTTAAATATATACATGTATGCGTGAAATATAAATTTAAATATTTAAATGATTAAATATTTGATATTCGATACTGATATATTACATATATTTCTTAAATATATACATGTATGTAGAAAAACAACATGATTTAATTTGATTTAATTTTATTGTGTTGTGTTTTGTTTTATTACTGGCACCTTTTGTCTGTCACTGTTTTTCTTTGATAATTCCATTGATGCTTTGGCAATATTGTTTGTAAAACAGTCCACGCCAATAAAGCACTTTGAAATTGACTTGAATAGAGAGAGTGATATCTCTTCTCAGCTGAGCATATGACAGTGGCATGTGTCGAGACACCACTGGGAGAAAGCAGACTAACACACGCCAGCTCAAACTGCAGGATTGACGTGATTTAATTTGCTTAGCAGAGCGGAGAGAATGGAAATGAGATTCTATGTTGCTTAACTTTTGTTTACTTGCTAGGGTCATGAATCATTACATTCAATTATAGGCTCCGATGAGTGTCCGTTAAATCTGTTGTTTTTCTAACACGCTCACAACTGACATGCCTTCAGGGAGTCATCATGTAGGGCCAATCTAAACGGAGCTCTACATTAAATGAAATTTAATATAATTTAAATAGCATGGACATAAAACAACTGGCCAATTTGTAAATAAGTTAGCATGTAGTCATTTAGCAGACACTTTTATCCAAAGCGACCCACAATACACTTATTACAGGAACAATCCCACTGGAGAATCCC